CGGTGTCGTAACCCGTTTTTCGAGCCGGGTTTCGACTCTTGGTTTCGGTAGTAATCGTTTGTGTTCACCGGTCTAGGCTGTGCACAGGCACAATGTTGTTTTAACCAGATGTCGTGCAGGGTTCCCATAAATCCAACATTCCCGCCCACCACCGCTCGATCTCACACGCTCCGAACGCTTCTTATAGCGCGAAACCTCTCGTGTCGCTTGTTCCGACTCGGTCTCCACCTCTAGCTCTACGCCGTTTTCGCTCACGTTCCACCCTGCCGCCCTTTCTCTCGCTCGGCGAACGTCGTGTGCCATAGTTCTTCGACATTAGCGACCCAGAAAAATCATTTATGCAAATATCGGCCATTACACTTGGTATTGATATACCAACGGCGACGGTGCACCAGGTCACGTCGTGTTTCCTCACGTAAAATATGTGTACCACGTGTTTTATTATGCGTCTCGACTGCTTCAGCCAAGAATCATCCGAACGTCTACGGTACTTTTCTTTTTTTCGAATTCTTACGGTGGTTAAAGGTAATTTGCCCTCTCCTCTCGTGAGTGAAGTTTCTTGCGAAACACTGCTGCTGCTGCTAGCACATACGGACGTTCCAGTTTTCATCCAGCGATACTTGGCGTGTAATGCCAGGAATGTAAATCAACGGAATGTCGTGTATTGGATTCACGTGCTAATCAGTAGAACTTTCGGTTACGGATACGTGCCACGCGGTTGGATCAATTGGGAGATAGGACGTCGAGGGATATATGGATTTGCGAAATTGAATTACATAGTTCACACGGATTGTTATTGATAACTCTACGATTACGTGGTATGGAGGATTTGGTATTGAGAATGCCGGATATTTGGAAGAAGGGATGTTCGAACAGGTAGAAACCGCGAATTATACTCTGTACGGATCGTATCGGATCTATGGATATGCATATTGATGTCTTTGGGTATGTAGAATGGAATATAGTTCATTTCGAATCTGTAGAACGTGACAGGATACGTTTTGACTACACCTTTGCTTCGTGAAGTACGATATTGTCCATTGTGGGCTTGTGAAATTTGGTATGGTTCACTATGAAGTGAAAGAGTTCGATGCAGTCCACTGTGGACCATTTGAATTCGATATGGTTCACTTATGGAAATTGATACTGAGTCCATGAAATTTGATAGGATCCACTCTGGACCACTGAAATTCGATATGGTTCACTATAGATCCATGAAACTTGATACAGAGTCCATGAAATTTGATACGACCCACACTGGACCACTGAAATTCGATACCATTCAACTTGGATCCATGAAATTCGATACGACCCACGCTGGACCACTGAAATTCGATACGATTCAACTTGTGTGCATGTAACTCTATCCAATTCACTCTGGATCTATTCAAATAGATACAGTGCACAATTCTTGGACACTGGTCGCTTAAGAATCTGCAAGATCACGAGACCTTTGGAACCATCGAGTCTCCTGTGGACCTCGAACCATCGAAGTCCCTGGGATATCTAATCCCCTCTGAATTCTGAGGACTTCTGATACTCTCAATGTCCTCTAAAACTTCAGTGACTTCTTCCTCAATTTTCATCGACTGATTCATAAAAGCGTTAAACTTTCAATGAAACATCTTGTCTCATGTCTCGCGAATAGTTTCTTTTTTCAAGAACATCAGCAAGGTGGAAGCGTTGCCGATCGTTCTATTCTTTGACTCAGTAAAGAAAAAAAAAAAAAGGAACTAGCTACGTGAGGAGAATACGGTGTTAAAGAGAACACCGTGGCGGAATCGAAGGGATTTTTATGACACCGGGACTGGAAATATCGGAGCGTACACGTGAAAGTATGTGACGTTATTCTTTAAGTTTCCGCTGTATTCGCGTTCCCGAAGCGGAGGGGGCGGTTTTTGAAGTTCATGTCACGAGCGTTCAACGCTTTTCAGTTTTCGAACCGAACCTCTCCCGCTGTCAGATCTCGGCAAAAAGTTCCCCGTTGAAAGTTTCCACCTGCATTTTCCCTCTCCCCGCACTCTCAAGCCCATTGTGTTCGGTCGAAACTGCGAGCTTGCACACGGACGCAGGGAGGGATATTATAACGAAAACAATTAACAATCGTGCGCGAAAAGTTTCCCTTCAAGTTAACAGCTGCAGGCGGCTTGAATTAAATTAAATTATGATTAAAAGCAAACATACACACGTGCGGAAGGCTACGCACGCGTAGTAAAGAAAAAAAAGAGAACCGGAGAGAGAAATAATAGAAAAATGGGTGAACGAAAGGGGGAGAAAGATAGAGAAAGCGTACCGTAAAGCTCCGCTCTGTTTGCGTTTTTCCTTCGGTAAATTAGAAAACAGGGTTAGAAAATTTTATTTTATCTTGCGCGAAATGTCGCTGCGCGTAAAACTTGGGAGCTCGTTGTACACGCGAGCCGTGTACTGTGCGGCTGTGTATAGCCGGGGCGAATTATGCGAAATGAAACGGTGGAACGTTTATTATACAACCTACACGGAGAGCCGGCTGATTATCTTTTGTTAGATTGAAAAGTTGAAAATAGCCCCCGGAAGAATTCTGTCCCGCTTTGAGGTATTTTATTTAAAAAAAGGGAAAGAGAGAAATAGAGCGAGAGAGAAAGAGTTCATCCATGGATCGCCAAGGGGAAGAAAATGCGCAAGGTTAATTTTGTACGATAGGTATGGGCTATGTAAGGTCGCAGGATTCCATTTTTTTTTTTCTTTTTCACTATTTTTTCTCCCCGGTACTCTTCGTGTATTCTAATAGCAGCTCAGCTGTTGCTCGCTTTAATTAGCATTCACGTTTCCTTCTTTTTCTCCTTTCTCTTCTCTCTTTCTCTCTCTCTCTCTTCGTTATTTCTTCAGCGTTCCTTTTTGCGCTCTTTATTCATCCGTCGACGCCTTATTAAATGCAGCACCCTTGGAAGAACTGTATTTAATCTCGATAAATATGTCGTCAATAAATATTAATACACACGGTGTACAGAAAATATGGGTCAATTGATTCGTCGTCGTTGGAGAGAGCCACCACGTTTCGTTTCGAAGCGATTCAGAGTTACCTTTCATCTCCTTCTCGTTTCTGTTTTTCTTCTTCTTCTGTTCTCTGTGAGAACGTTGTTGCGTGTTACGGTCGTTATACGCGCGTGTGCATCCGTGTTCTTCGACAATGTTCGATATGAAATATTAATCTTTAATTTCCACCGGTCAGCGGAATTACTATTTCGCCCGCGTGTGGTCTGTCGCCGCGTGCTCGTTGCATATTAATTCCACGCCGGGCAGCTTTGAAATTTTTCAAACCGGCGTCGATGCAATTATTTTGCAAGTCATTGTTCGTTTCCCTTCTAATGGGAAAATCGATGCGAGAGGGAGCCGGTGTATAAAAATTAATCATCCTATTTTCTCTGCAAATAAACATGCGGGGGCATATGAAAAATGGAAATTTCTCCTCTCTTGATTTTAGAATCTGTTGCGACCTGATGAGGACGCAACGAAGTCTCGGTTCGGCGGATTATAGTAATAAGTCACTTAGTTACATTTGGCGTTCACAATAAATTCGGTCTCCGAAAAGGTCACAGTTTTCGTCGACCAATAGCCGAACACACCACGTTTTCCACCTTCATAATACAACCACCAATCAGAATCAACATAATTCCTATATATACATCTACACACCTGAAAACCGACAATCACAGTACAACGAGTGCACGAGACACATCGTCAAAAAAAGAATAACCGAATCTCAACTAAACATCTATCAACGATCCGAAAGCTAATCATTCATCAACCATCTACCTCAACGAACCGAAAGCAGATCATTCATCAACATCTACCTCAACGAACCGAAAGAAAAACATCTAACCCAACAACCAAGTTGCATTCCATCTCGAACCAGCGAGAACTATCAACAACCTGCGCCAGAGTCTTGGTTATAACAGTTGATCAAAGTCCACGACTCAACAGAATCTTTCCAGCAATTTTCCGCCAAGCCTTCCATCCAGTTACACCAGTTTACGTTGTTTACGATGCTGCGTTCGCGGTATCCACTTACGTAATGGTGATTCCAACTCGTTATTTAGGTTAGATTCACTTCTGCACAGTATTCTGTAAATTGTATTTACACCTGTACACCTCCGCGAACTAAAGATGATTAACAGTGACACTAATTCCTTGTCTGAAAAATTCTAACGACACTTCACAAGTGTAACAAAGAAACAAGAAGGAAAAAATTTGAATGTTGCTCTCCGAATGTGCAGAATGAAATGAAAAAGAGTGTCTCGTTTTAGGGTTGGTTTTCATTTCAGAAACGTGGTCTTCCCTGTGTCACGAATCGAACGCGGCTTACTTTTCTTTCCGCGGCGGGAATTGGACCAGTAGGTATCGTTTCGCCGGCTCGTTCTGACACGGAAGCGACGTTCATAGAAACCGCGGTTACTCGCGGTGTCGCGCGATGTAGAACGGATGCTCGAAAGTTCCGCGAGTTGTCGACACGCGGTTGCGTGGTGTACAGGATAACCGAGAAATTGCGCCGGGCGACAATGACTGGCGGCGGGACGCGTTTCGCGGCCGCGAAACAATGTCCTGGCTCGTCGATTCCGTTAGACACGTTTAAGTAGCAGAAGTGGGTCGGAAACAAAGGTACAGAGGCCGTGGAGAAAGGGATAAAGGCAGAGAAAGTGTGAGAGAGAGAGAGAGAAGGAGTCGATGAGCTCGCTCGTATAACGCAGTTACGAGCGTTAATAGGATCCAGCATCGCAGTTGGACTCCAACGGATTCCCTCGTTGCCGTCTCAGCAGCGGCTCGCCAAATTGAATGAAATTGCAATTTGGAAATTAATCGCCGGCTGTCCGGCCGGTCGCCGTCGCATTTCCACCCGTACGTTCCCGTGGAATTGCGAATTTACACGGCTATACGTTTCTTCGGTCCCGCGGAGGCCTTCTACTCTAGCCCCCACCGCCGTCGTTTTCTCGTCGCGGGAATTAGGTCGAGATCTCTGGATCTTTGATATTTATATCCGAGGCACTTCGGTGGTGGTGCTTGGAATTTTTGCGATTTGGAAGCCTTGTTGCGTGGGATGTTGGATTTTGGGATTCGAAGAGCTGTGGTTTGTGTGCTGGAGATTTGAATGTTTGAGATGTGAGTGTTTGGAATTTGAATGTTTGAAATTTGAATATTTGGAATTCGGAATCTGTGGAATTTCCATATTTGAAATTTGGAATCTCTGAAATTTGGTACCTTTGAAATTTCCATACTTGAAACTTGAATGTTGGAAATTTGGAATATTTCCATATTTGAAATTTGGGGTATTTGAAATTCGAATACTGGAACTTGGAATATTTGAAACTTGAATGTTTAAAATTTGGAAGCTTCGAAATCTTCATATCTGAAAATTCAATATTCGAAATTTCACCGTTTGAAACCGGAGCCCCAACAATCATAGTGCCTCTGATTACAATGCTCCAGATCCGGAGTCTTCACCGTGGCTCCAATTTCCCCTCTCGAACTTCCCGTGTGTTATTCTAAAACGAGCTACGATCACACACAGTGCAGGGAACTCTGAATGCATTAACATCACTCACCCGTGTCTTGACAGCCTCTCAGCTCGATCCGTAGGCAAACGGTGCGCCTGTGCTCGGAGTGCGGCAAAATACGAATCTGGCTGGCGAAGATCGGCGGGACCAATCGATGCGATACCACTGTCGAGGTGTCGCTATTCCCCGCCAGCACCTGGAACAGTTACAGGCGAAACGGCTTGCGATACTGTGCCTCGAATTGCGATTTCTTTCGCTCCCTCCCTCTCTCTCTCTCTCTCTCTCTCTCTCTGTTATCGTCGTCACAATCAAACCACTGTTTAACCAATGTTTAACCAACGTACACGTTAATTAACCACCAACGTGGAAACGGCTGGTGAATTAAACCGATCCGTTAATCGACGAACGATTTCCGTTGGATAAATTACGCGGGGCGATGGGGAGGGGGGACGTTCGATTCTTCCGATAAAATGTATTTAATCAATGCGTTGTAGGTATTCCTAAGTAAATTTGTTAGCGGAACAACGGGGGTTCTCGACGATATATCACCGTTCACCATATAATTATCGAGTTAATTGCGATAATTTCACTGATTTAATTACAACGCGCGATTAATGCGTCTGCCTAGTACCGCGCCTCGAGTAACAGTTCCCGCGGATACTATACGATTTGTACGTATTCGGTTCACGCCGTTTCCCGAAACAACAATTTTCTGTACGAAAACAACGGGAGAAGCAGAGATCCATCATGATGCGTAACGCGTTTGATCGTGGCCAAGCAATTCCGCGAATCTACTATATACGTACACGTGTACGCACACAGTGACGTATACACGTGGGCCGGCACGCGCATCATGCTCTCGAATCGACGTCAATATTAATCAACTTAGCCCGGAAATCTCAACGCTGGAGACCGCGTACGTCGTTTAGACATAGATCATGATTGCATCGGTACGAAGGTAATGCCATGGTTAATGCACCCTCAACGGGCGGACCCTGTGAATTATCATTCGAATGAACCTCGACGTCGCGGTCTCTAGCTTAGGCTGATGGAATAGAATACGATGATAAGGTGACGCGTTCTTATCTGTTAATTGAGATGCTACGTTTTCCTAGGTTTCGTATTGCAACGTGTACTTTTAGGATGTTCCATTTAGTAGCAATCGAAGTAATCGTTCTGTCATGCGTTGGAAAAGTAGGGTACGGAAGGAACAACGGGATGGAGAGAAGTTGGGTATAATCTGGCTTATAAGTATTAGGACACTTGTTTTGAACGGTTGGTACAAAATGATCGAGATCCAGAAACATTTCTGTTTAAGGTACTGTCTTGAAAATAATTGATTGTGTCACGTGAAAAATTGTGAGGAAATTGAGTCGTCTCGACGATTTTCATTTAATGTAAAAGCAATTATAGATTTAAATTTTAAAAAATTCGTGTTATCTTCATTATGCAAGAAAGGACTGAAAATTTAAAGAAATCTATTCAAGCTATCCTATTGTGAATAAAAAATAATTAAACTTTGTCCTCTTCTATTCTCCTCAAAAATCTACCAGTAATGAGAAAAATGTTGGAAAAGTATAGACACTCTGTATATTTTTACTGATACGTGATACTAATTTTAGATCATGTGAAACTTTCTATAGGAGCACGACAGGTGTCCCAATGTTTAAAAACGTCAGAGTATATGAATAAATAATAAAGGCTAACAATAGTCGATTTACATTGTTCTATTCGGTTGCTATCTCTGGACAGAGAAGAATAATTACAATTCTCCCGGAATAACGTGACTCGCCTCGTGCACACCAATTTCTATTTCTCCCGCAGAAGTGTCCGTTGAGCAGGATCGCGAAACGAGCCGCTTCACACGCCACCGGCCGATAAATTATCGTTCGTTACAAGACGTGCCGTAGAGCCGGCCTATCGCGACTGAGATTACTTAATTGGACGATCCCTGTGGAACGGCTCTTAATTATTCGGCGATCAACCAAACGAAGCGGCCGCTCGAAAATTTATTCCTCTCGTGGTGACAATAGGGGGGGGGGGAAATTTGGACATTTTTGTTTTTGCTTTCAGATCGCAATGAAGATCAAGATATCGATGATAATTGGTCATTTGTCACGGTGCTAGTTTCGTGATTAACCGTTTTGCTACGCTGTGAGTGAAATTGGTACCGCGATTGGGGTTTTTCGATGCCTTCAACTGTGCATTTAGCTTTAGAATATTATTCTTTTTTTTATTTTTAGGGATTTGTGAGAGAATCAATGCGAATTGGAACGTATGAAGAGATTTTCACGTTACACATATAATGTGCATGATTTTTAACACGAGAAAATAAGTGAGACATTGTAGTGATTTTTCGTTAAAAAGCGCCACTCGGGGAGATCACTATAGTTGCGTTTCGTCTCAAAATATGACTTACGGGGAGATCACTATAGTGGCGTTCCGTCTCAAAAGTTGACTTAGGGCGAGATCACTGTAGTGGCGTTTCGTCTCAAAGAATGACTTAGGGGGAGATCACTATAGTGGCGTTTCGTCTCAAAGAATGACTCAGGGGGAGATCACTATAGAGATGTTTTTCTTAAAAAGTGACTTAGAGGGAGATCACTATAGTGGCGTTTCGTCTCAAAAGTTGACTTAGGGGGAGACCACTGTAGTGGCGTTTCGTCTCAAAGAATGACTCAGGGGGAGATCACTATAGAGATGTTTTTCTTAAAAAATGACTTAGGGGGAGATCACTATAGTGGCGTTTCGTCTCAAAAAATGACTTAGAAGAAGATCACCACAGTGTCAGATAGTAGTCAAAGGGTTAACTAGAAAATCGTTAAAAATCTCGAAACCGGCGGAAAATTTGATCTGCAAGTAAATAAAAAAAAAAAGTGTCAGAAGAACTTTTCTTTTAACTACGGGTAGCACTGTTTCCATCGTGCACGTACTTATCGATGGCCGCATCCCACTTTCCGCTTTCGCCCCGGTTCAATCTTTGAGAACAGTTAGGGGAGGCGCGAGAGCTCGCCCCGAGTTGAGGAAAACGCGAGGGCTCGCGGGTCCCGTGACTCGAATCGCGCTCGAATCGCCGACACCGTTGGAATCACAATAAGGAGATCGAAGAACCGTTCCTCGACTAGGGCAGAAAGTTTCTTTCTCCTTCGAGAAATAAAAATCCAGACCTTCGTATCGTTCCTCCCCTTTTTCACAATGAGCAAGATTGGCCCGAGTGGAATTTTTACGAGGAAATTGATGCCTGTAATTTGTTACATTGACGGTTGCTAAATTTACCCGATATTTTAACTGCTTGAAAGATTTACTTTACGTTGAAAGATAGCTGTTGTATCTAGCTTTGTTTTACTATATCCAATGAAACTCATTAATCTGCGAATAACGACTCTATTATGGATACTTTTCGTTCAGTTTTGACAAAGTGTCAATCATCATTTTTACCACTCATGAATATTCTAAATTATTTCTTATTTAATTTTACTTTTCCACATCCAACGAAGCTGTTAGCAATCTACGAATAACGACTCCATTGTGAATACTCGCGTTTCGTTCAATTTTATCAAAGTATCAATCACAATTTGAATTATATTATCCACCTTTTCCCCATTCATGAATATTCCAAATTACTTCCGATTTAATTCCACTACATCCAACGAAACTGTCATTAATTCACAAATAAAACGATTCTACCTTGGATACTCCAGTTCCGTTCAATTTCACCAAAAACTTCAACACAGCAGTCAAAGTGTTAATCACAATTTGCACCGTATTATCCTTCTTCCGTACAAATCACTTGTAACAACGAGAAACAGCATATTCTCCGAGTACACACCCAGAAGAAACCCCACGCGGCGTCATTACCATTACCGTCTCCTTCAGACCGTCAAAGATGGGCGATCCTCCATAAAACGTGACGCTTAACCGCGTACCAATTTTCCGCTCGCGTGTAGCTTCTCCTCTTTCTCTCTCTCTCTCCCGCCAGAGAACGTTTCTGACCCAGTAAAATCGTACGTGAGCACGGTCAATTTACGGGATGCTTCTGTATCGTGAACAAACCTTGGACTAATCCGCGAAAGGAAAATAAAACGGGAGGAGGGGGTGGTATAGAGAAGCTGGTTGATTGCGGTCACGTTATTCAGGATCTGTCTGACTTAACTTACTTCTTCTCCACTGTCAAACACATACGTTCCAATCGTATACACGTCAGCACACGTACCTCCTTGTTATCCCAGCGCTTATATCGCCGCCACTCGGTGAACCCAGGACGTCGATACTCGAGGGTATACTCCTCCACGTATTCCTGGCCACGGCCATGATCGTAACGACCCTGACTCTGTACACCGGTGATCACGTGTGGCCCGGGAAGATCCACTTGCAGCCACTCACGAATTCCTCTTTCTATTTGGCTCTTCGGGCACCAAGCACCGCCTGCTGTCTCCTTCCGCAGCCTGTTTTCCACCAGAATTTGTTAGCGTTACGTGCTCACCGGGTTTTGATGAATTTTAATGGGCCCTCAAGGTCGGCCAGCGACAACCCCTCTCAATATCCGGCCGACCCGTACTCCAAACCCGCGACCACGGAATTCAGTCGCATATTAGAATAGGTTTAATATGAATGTCTCTGTGTCGGGACTGTTTGTTGCCTTGTTTCACGAATTCTGTTAGTTCTTTTTTTTGGTGTGTTCAGTTTTTGGAGGAGGTAGGAGTGTGATTGTCGGAAACTGTCGGTGAGTGAAGTTTATCGAGAGGTGAATTGATTCGTGTATTTTTGTTTGAAATTTTGTCCGTGGTAAATTTTGCAACTTTTCAAAATTTTTCGTCGGTACGCATTTTGGAGGATCCGCGAAGTTTAGCGTAGTGTCGTAAAAAATGGTATCGTGTCAGAGATAGAGAAAATAGAGTAAACGAGAACGAAGTGGGTGATGTGACAAATAATACTGAAAATTGAAGGAAAAAATGTTTAGAACGTAGTGGAGAATATTTCGAATACCAGTCGCAACTTGAAACAGAACAATTCGCAATAAGAAAAATAATAATATACAAAATAGAATTTAATTCTGCCTTTGAAAATTTCGTTTTAAACATGCATCTCTGGCCAGTTGCGCGAGTTACTCGGTATCGAAAGAACGGGCGAGCGAAAATGGCGAAACAGAAACCGTACGATCCGGTTGATACGGTGAATCGAAATTTGACACGCGTAGCAGTTTGCATTGCTTAAAAAAGGGGCGCTAGCCGAAAATCAGTTTTCATCCTCGTCGAAAATTTGTCCTCGTTCGTCCTATCTGACAGAGCCCTCTGGCACTGAAATTGCACAATAATAATCGTACCGAAAATGTAGCCGCCACGTCAAAATCGGTACGCGTTCAATTCACGGATCGTTTCACCGTGTATCCACCCCTTTCCTCGCCCGTTCCTCTCCTTTCTACCGGTTACAACGACCAGCGGTAGTTTTCGTTCGAATTCGACAGACATAATTAATTGATATTTTATTTCCTCTCGCGCGATCGACCAACGTGACGTCATGAATATCGAAAGAAAGAGAGAGAGAGAGAGAGGAAGACGGAGAAGACGGGTTGGGTATAGGCGATACGATGGTTTTTAAAGTGTACCTGAGGTCTAAAATTGGCCCACTCGAACGAGAGTTAATTAATTAAATTGCCACCGACGATTCCCAAGATGTTTGTCGATCAGAACGAATTCGTCTGTGAAATATTCTCGATCGATGAAGATATCGATGACAGGAAAATTCTTGAAATTAAAGAATCAGATCTATCTCCCTCTCTCTTTGTGTTGTAACGAAGGAGCCAGTTTTACGAGGCTAAATCACCGGGGATTTCCCGGGAGACTTTCATTAAAGTGCCATCAATCTCTCTCTACCGCGAAATCGAAGCTGTGGATTATTTTTTCGAAGCACGTAGAGAGTGTGCCAAAAATAGCTGGGGAAATTTGAAGAGTTTGTAATTTGAAGTGGCACTTTGGTACCGGTATTTATAACAAATCCTGTACACTCTACTGTTCATCAGTCGTTGAATTGCTTTTTTTTTAT